GGTGATCGTTCAATGGAGTAGGATATGGATGTTGGAGATAACAGCTTGTATATTGATGTATGGGCTGATAGTGTAGATTTCTTAAATATGACTAGACAAAATGAGTATACACATCCTGAGTTCAATGCTGAGGTTGATATAGAGAATCATGTCTTCAAGTTGGGGATGTGCTTTAGTAACCCTGAAGAGTTTAGAGAGGCTGTTAGGAACTATGCCATAAAAATGGGAGACAAGTGAGGTTCACTAAGAATACACGAAATAAGTTGAGGTCAGTGTGTTCTGAGGGCTGTGATTGGCTTATGTATGCTTCCAAAGTGTAAAGGGAGCATACTTTACAAGTCAAAACCTTCAACCCCATACACACTTGTAATAGAGTGCAAAATGTTCCTCAAGTAAGCACTAAATGGCTAGCAAACAAGTATTGTGATAAATTGAGGAATAATCCTACATGGCCAGGTGCTTCAATGAAGAAAACAATGGAATCCGAGAATGTTTTGAAGTTCTCAAGGTCAATGGTTTACAGAGCTAGGGCTTCAGCAATGACTATGATCAAAGGGAATGAGGAGGAGCAATTTGGGATACTTAGGAGCTATTATCAAGCACTTCTTGATGCCAATCCAAGATCCACAGGTATAATCAAGATTAAGAAATGGGCAAAAGTACACTAGAAGTGCCATAACTTGTGTACGGCGATCACTTTGGTGCCATAACTTTTTTTCGGATCACTTTGGTGCCAAGTCGGAGGAAAATCGATCACTTTAGTAACTCCGGCCAAAAAACTGTCCTGGCATTTATACTAAAAAAAAAATGGTCTGACTTGTACACGGTGGAAATTACGTGGCTTTTTTTCGAATTTTTTAAATTTTAAAAAAAAAAAGTTGCAGCGGCGGCGAGGAGCCCTCGCCGGCTGCCGCATAACTCCCACCACCGCCGGAAGGGCCGGCGGTGGTGGGCGCTGTGGTCGGCGAGGGTCGCCGGCCTCGGCCAGGCCCGGCGACCCTCACCGAGCCCGGGAGGGCCGGATCCGGTGACCTCGCCGAGCCCAGCCGGATCCGACGAGGCGAGATCCGTGCGCGCGAGTCTCGCTCACCTGGCGAGGCGAGGCCGCCGCCGTCGCGACCGCGACGTGACGAGGTCGGTCTCGCCTCGCGGCGAGGCGAGGGCCGGGCGAGGCAAATCTCGCGCGCGACGGCCGTCGCGTCGCCCGGGTCGCGACAGCGAGCGTCCGCCGTCGCCTCGCCGCGAGGTCTCCGCCGTCCCTCTGCGACGGCGAGGTCTCGCCTCGCCGGATCCGGCTCTCGTGGGCTCGCGGGGCCGCGGCCCCGCAAGGGGCGACCCTCGCCGACTATGTGCCACTCACCGCCGGCCCTTGCCGGCGGTGAGTGGGGTGGTGGCTTAGCAATGCGAGGGCTCCTCGCCGCCGCCGTAGGTTTTTTTTTATAAATATAATTTAATTTTTTTTAAAAAAAAATACACGTCAGCTGGCTAAACGGCGTCGTTTTTGGTTTTTAATGCTGACTGGACCTCTCCGGCGAGCCGTGTCAGCGCCACATCGGATTTCCGGCGAGCCACGTTAGTATTGGTACTAAAGTGATCGATTTTCAAAAAAGTTGGCATCAAAGTGATCCGAAAAAAAGTTATGGCACCAAAGTGATCGCCGTACACAAGTTATGGCACTTCTAGTGTACTTTTGCCTAAGAAATGTCAAGACAAATTCAAGTTTAAAGTAGGAGTTTACATTTGTCTAGATGCATTGAGGAGGGGCTTTCTAGAAGGATGTAGGCGCTTTGTGGGGTTTGATGGTTGCCATTTGTCATCAAGTTACAAGAGTATTCTTCTGGCAGCTGTGGGCATAGATGCCAACAATCAAATGTATCCCTTTACATGGGCAGTCGTGGGACAAGAAACATACAAGACATGGCATTGGTTTATTAGTATGATTGCAGAAGACTTAGGAATTACAGACTCAGCAAATTCAAAATGCTGGACTTTCTTAAGTGACAAGCAGAAATGATTGATGCAGGCACTAGCAAATCTAATGCTTGAAGCTGAACATAGATTTTGCTTGAGGCATCTTTATGAGAACTTTAGGCTGCATCACAAAGGATTGGAACTTCAAGTGTTGGTTTAGAAGGTTACGATGGCAACTCGGGCATGTGATTTTGACTTGGCAATGAAAAAGCTAAAGGCAGTTAATGAGAAAGCATATAATTGGTTGTCCCAGAGGCCTCCAGTGCAGTGGAGCAAGTCTCACTTCAAAACAAGCTCAAAATGCGACATTTCCTTAAATAACTGGTGCGAGAACTTAAACAAAAGCATTATTGATGCCAGGGACAAACCTATCATCACAATGCTTGAAGCTATAAGAGTGCAGACAAAGAGATGGGTTGGCTCAGCACATTGGTGTGATCTATCCCAACATCCAGAAGATATTGGATCTTCAAAAAAAATATTTAGCATCATAGATTCCTGCGTGGAAGGGGAAGATGAGTTTGAATTGAGTGGGCCATATGGAGACAAAAGAGTTGTTAATATTAGACATAGAACTTGTAGCTGTAGAAGATAGGACATCAGTGGAATCCCTTGCTGTCATGCTGTGGCGACTCTTATACACATGAGGGAACAACCTGAAAAATGGGTTCACACATGCTTCCTTAAGGAAACATTCATGCAAACTTATAGCCACCTTGTGCATGTTGTGGATTCCAAGGACACATGGCTTGCTCGAGAGCCATTATTCCCCCCCAGATGTGCCTAAGCAAGTTGGTAGAAAGAAGAAACAAAGAACGAAGTCAGTGAATGAAATAGCTGATAACAATTTGAAAACAAGGAAGAAGAAAGTTGTGCAACAGCCCGTTGGAATGAAGTTGAAGAGACAAAATACAACAATCACTTGTGGGAAATGTGGTGGGTTAGGCCATAATAGGAATCATTGCAAAAATCCATCAGTAACATCAACACCAACAGCAATAGCATCTGCGGTAGCAGTAGCATCACGCCCAACAGCTTCCACATCCACCTCATGCTCCCAAGACGTGGTCGAAAGCACTCCCTCAGCCCCATCAACATCACAACCTGAGACAATTGAACTACTTGCTTCAATTTTTGGCAACACTTCAAACTCATTGTCATTTATGGGAAGAGATAAGATGCAGATATTAATTTGCCTTGACTTTAGGGGTGTCCATAAAGCCCACGCCGGCCCGGCCTGACCTGGGCTAGTCAGGCCCGACCCTAAAATTTGGGTTATTTTGGGGTTGGGTCTTGTCTTCTTTGGGTAGGGCTGGGTATTACTAAATTAGGGTAGGATTGGGCCCGATCCATAGACACCATGAGACCACCCATGGGCCACAGTCCACACCTCCCTAGCTCCCTCTCCTTCGTCTCTCCCCTTCTCTCTCCTCTGTCTCACTTTTTGCGCACATTTCATTGCCTGGTTTTCCGACACCGATCTCCGCATCCATCGCCTGGTTTCCATCTCGCCGGAGCTCGCTCTTTCGCTCTCTCTCATGAAACTCTGTTCGGAGATCCATGGCGCCTCATCGTAGCTCGTTCCTCCTTGGTTTCTCAAGCCCTGCATTGCTCAAATCCCTCTGCTTCTGCCGACAGGGCCGTGTCCTCCCATCGATGCCGATCTAGCGAGCCTCGACCTCGTCCAAATCCCGGACTTCCGACGATTCTGTCGATTTCTCCCTCCTCCTCTGGCGTCGTCGTCCTCCCCCATCCTTTTTGCAATGAAGCCCAACAGCAGATTCTTCACGATGGGGCTCGTACTTGCAAATCCCATCGGTACGAACTCTAGGCGACAACAACCGCAGCCCCGAGATCAAGCGCCGCCGCGACGCACGCGATTTCTCAATGTGCCGGAGATTGGGGAAGGAATCGAGGGCTGGATTCGGTGGATCGACGGATAAAGACGGGATCGAAGAGGGAGGGGTTGATTTCTAGGGTTTTGCAGAAGGGGGGAAGAAGACGGAAGGGAAGGAGTGAAGTCAAGGAGTGGTGATACTAATGAAGAACTCGTCGTCACCGCCGTCGCCAATCCCCACCGATGCCTGCCGCAGGAGGTTCCCTACTGCTGCGATTTACATGATCGGGTGGACTAATTTCCAATCCATCTATAAAAAAAATAAAAACCTGAAACCAGACCTGGCCTGGCTCGGCCCGGCCCGGCCCTTGAGGTGTGTGCTAAACAGGGTCTTGGGCTGGGTCTGGGCGGGTGAAGCGCGACCCTATTGATTTCGAGTCAGGTAGGGTATTATAAAAGCCCGACCCGACCTGACCCAACCCATTGACACCCCTACTTGACTTTGTCCTAAAATTGTTCTTAGTTGTACTTGATTTTTTCTTAACTAAATTGATTTATTTTTTGATTCAACTGTAGGTGAAGAGAATGATGTAAGGAACCTCAACATGAAAGTGGTGGAACACGAGCAATTTTTTGAGATATACAAAAGCAACAAGACCAACAAAACAAATTCTTTTTTTTTTTATCTATTGATTGATCCGGATGGGTTTGTATAGGTCAATTGATGAAGCATATTAAAGTAAAAGTATAAATAGGTCTGCTATGTTTGGAAGATGTCTTGTATTAGAAAGTTTCTCTTTTCCATAAAATAATGTGGATCAATTTAAGTTTAACTAATGACATTTCGTTTGCTTTGCCTTCTTTTGAGTTGTGGTTGTTGTGCCATAGCTCACAAGAGTTGTTTATGCAGCCTTTTTTTGAGTTGTGGCTGTTGTGCTATGTTGAGCTCACAAGAGTTATTTATGCAGCCATTTGGAGTTGAGTTGTGCCTTCTAACCTCTACCTCTTTCATGGTGCTATAACACAACACAGAAGTTGTGCGTGCGCATGCACAACACAGAAGTTGTGCAAATAGAAAAGAGCATTTTTTTTTTCTCCACGAATGTTGTGCACATAGCACAACACAAACGCTTGGCCAACAGTAGCATATGAAACATTCATTCATCACTGCAACCATTTGACCAAGAAATCATAATCACCAACTCATCATTAAACTTAGATATTTGCATTACAAGAAGAGATGACAACATATGAGTTTACACAGCAATTAAACCTCCCACAAATGACATCCATTAATCACAGATCATCCTACAGCAACCAATATGAAACTCCAAAAGACACCTACGACAATTGATCAGATCCTCGAAACATTACGACAGGAAGCATTCACAGCCCCATCAATTCCCACATCATAACCCATGAATTTGCCAATCTTCTATCAATCAAATCTTTCAATTCAATGTCCTGGGAAACCTTCCCTCCTTCAATTTTTGGCAAAACCTGGGAAATACAAGAGAGAGAAAGAGTCAAGTTGAATCATACAATATGATACCAAAGTTAGACAACAAATGCAATCAAATTGAGGGCATTTCTCATGACTGTACGGTACAACAATACATTACTGGATCTTACCAATCTCCAAGAAGAGGCCACAGAACTAGCAGGGCAACAGAGTCCCAAAAGTTATAAGACAAAAAGGCAACGATGTATTGGATTGCTTAGGTAAATTCAACGTCAAAACTCAAAAGTAAAGATCCACGACATCTAGGTCCTGCAACAAAATTTTTGAACATAAAGTATTTGTAAATAGAAAAACAAACCAGCTCATCATTGTAGTAAACATCAAAAGCACCAAAGCTTTGCAGGAAGGGCCGGAACACATTGCGAAAAGCCAAGTTGAAGCAACAATCCCAACCTGTTTGCACAAAGAAAATGGGATGCACTGCAATCCCAAGCATTGGAAAAAATGCTCTCTGGCCATGACGATAGCAGATACTCCTATCTGAGTGACTGGCACCAACTTAGCCAAAATGGGCTTTGGCGGTGGTGGAGGGTAGTTTGCAAGAACAACATCAACACCAGACAACTGTATCCCCAGCATCTTCTTCATTGTTACTACAGTACCCGGGACATAAACATTTTATGTGAATAATGAAACGAAAAGCTGATATTTGATACCCAAAATAGTAATTGATCCAATTGACACTAACATTACTAACAACGAAAGAGCCACAGTTTTATGTGACTATAACACCGTCGTTAATCATATCACATAAGTTACTCCACCCATTTAATCACGCTTCACAAAAGTTAGGCAATTAGTTCATAATCTTTAAAGAAGTTTGCAACCCCTCTAATCCACATAGATGAACAACTATGGCAAGTTATGGTCCTGAAGAGGCTATTGATTAGCATCATCTCGAGCTTGTTCCTTCCAAGCCAAAAAAGAACATATCTCACTAAAGGGAGAGCATAAATTGCTCGCACCAAACTAGTTTCCAGAAGTGCGATGGCTTCATATTGCAACCAACAAAAACATACATTATATAGCAGCATTCTAGCACTAATCTGAAATGTGCAAACGATCACATCGGGAAGCGTGAAGCAGAAGAATTTCACACATCACTATTTTCACCTCCTTTGATTGCATGCTTGTTCAGCCCGAAAGTACAACAATTGGCGGATGCATCGCAGGAGTCTTAACACAGAATACTCTACTCTCAAAGACTCCCTACTCCTCTCAGGCGAAAAATGGTTGCAAAACTACCGACAATAGTGAGTCGAGCTGCGAGAATCATCGAACTGGAATGTCAGCTCAACTCGTGCGACACCATTGACACTGAATTAAAAGCACCACATAGTCGCACACCACCAATGAAGAAGAAAATATGCGCGAGAGCGGAGAGAATTGCTCATCTTTTGGGAGGAATGGCGAGGACTTTGACGGGAAAACACATCGCTGGCGTGATCATGTTCGAGTTCCCGGACAAGATGGTGTGCCACGCGGACTCCTTCCTCGACCTCATGCACGGCGAGGCATACTATATCCTCGGGGAAAGAACAGCAGAAGTGCCAAAAGTTGTGTACGGAGCTCACTTTGGTGCCAAAAGTTTCAAACGGATCACTTAAGTGCCAAAAGTTGTGAAAAACGATCACTTAAGTGCCACATCACCGGAAATCCGACGTGGCATTTTTTTTATTAATTTCTCAAGCTGATGTGGCTCACCGGAGGCTGATGTGGCATTTCTTTCTTTTCTTTCTTTCTTTTTCTTTCTTTTTTTTTTCTTTCTTCTTATTTCCGATGGCCGGCGTCCGGCCACCGGCCATGGTCGGCCTCGCCGGCGTTGCCTTCCTCCGGCGAGGGCCGGCGAGGCCGCCGTGGCCTCGGCGAGGGCCGCCTCGCTCGGATCCGCGAGGCGAGCCTTGGCGGCTTGCCTGATCCGGCGAGACGGCCTCGCCGGCCTCGCCCGAGGAAGGCGACGCTTGGCGAGGCCACCGTGGCCTTGGCGAGGGCTCATCTCGCAGTCCGCGAGGCGAGCCTCGGGCTCGCCTCGCCGCGAGGGTCGACCTCGCCGGGCGGCGGCCCCGGCGAGGCTCGCCCGTCGAGGAAGGTGGCCCTCGCCGAGGCCACGCGCCTCGCGGCCTCGGCCGGAGGAAGGTGACGCCTCGCAAGGCCGCCGTGGCCTTGGCCAGGGCTTGCCTCGCCAGATCCGGCGGGGCCAGCCCTCGCCCGGAGGAAGGCGACGCTCGGTGAGGCCGGCCCTGGCCTGTGGCCGAGCCACCGGCCATGGTAGAAGAAGAAGAAGAAGAAAGAAAAGAAAGAAAAGAAAAAAGAAAAGAAAGAAAAAAAATACTTAAAAAATTGAATTATATACGTGGAAATGCCACTTGTCATTAAAATTTAAATATAAAAGCTACGTATTAAATTTGGTCGGAATTTCTCGCCGTTGGCACTTAAGTAATCGTTTTTTCTCCGATTTGATACTTAAGTGATCGCCGGCGTAAACTTTTGGCACTTAAGTGAGCTCCGTTTGAAACTTTTGGCACCAAAGTGAGCTCCGTACACAACTTTTGGCACTTATACTGTTCTTTCCCCTTTTATCCTCCCGCTCGATTTCCTGAATACTTTGTCCTCTCGCTGGATTGCTTCCCGAGCCACATCAGCACCTTGAGAATGAAGGGCTGTGTCTACGTCCGAGAGAGAGAGAGAGCGAGAGAGATGAATGAAGGACCTCGGGTTTTGGGTCGTAAATGTACCAAAAACAGCTGAAGCTTCTCTCTAATTTGGTCGGGAGAAAAATCTATAGAGAGAACAGGCACTAAGAATTGAAGAGCAACATGGGAGAGGAAGAAAATTCACGAAGAACCATAGAATTCAATTTGGGATCTTTCGATGTAATTGTTTACCAATTTTTTTTATCCAGTTACAATTTTTGGACGAAATTGCCCATGCTCTAATTGCCGGAATAAGTCGATCGTCGAAAATTTGAGGAGCCCTTATTTGAAACTAAGTGGACAACTTCAAACCTTCATTTGAGACAAGGTTGGCCCTTATTTGAGAAAACAGCTTCACTTTAGGCCCCTATTTGAAATTTTCCTATAGATTAATAATACAACAGATGTTACAATTATACTCGAGTTATTTAAATACTCTAAGTGATTCTCTACCCTTAATTACACTCAATAACTCATTCAGCCTCACGATGACTCGCGAAACAATAAATTTATAGATCTTACCCCAAGATTTATTGGTTTTAGAATATTTGCAATTTCTTTGAAATATAGTTTACAGGCACGCGTGCAATTGACTATTACGGCCAAAAACTTTTCTCATCACTAATGTGTAAAAACCACCAAAATCCATTTCTTATATAAGAATTCTTGCAGGATATACTGAAGTATAATCAGATTGTGATTTTATTACATTGTTCTCTTTGATTTATACCAGTATTCATACCTCTAAATTCTATAAGAATATGTTTACATTTAGTTGCAAATCTCAACTAAAGTTCTTATAGAAATAGTCGTGCGCTTAACTGATTATATATATGCATACATACATATATATATGATATTTGAATTCGAATAGGAACCCTATTAGCCAACTCAAATTAGAAAACCTAATCAAACTAGTATTTGGAAAATATTACGATAATTTTTTGCTTGTTTGATTGTCAAACCCCCAATGCTATTTGGATTTAAATGTTTACTTAAATTAAGTTTCCTTAAGGGGCTCAAACTCAATGTCTATTTAAATTAAGTTTCCTTAAGGCGCTCAAACTCAAGACATATTTTCAACGATCTCTCCACATTCACTCAATATTTGAGTCAAGTTACAATCGCTTTGCTAGAAACTGAAACAGCTACTTTCCTACATCCCCTTATGGGCTCGACCCAAGATTTTTCAAGTCCAAGCCACGCTTGAACTCCGTCAAAACAGCGGGCCTCATCAAAATACCAAGTCTACTTGCACCTTCAACCGTTCCATGAGGATTCGCAAATGCAAACTTCTTTATTATAGATAAAGCATTGTTGTATCTACATCAAGAGATCAAACACAAATCTTATCAAACTTAGCAGCTATAGCAATCGATGGCCCTACAAGCTCCACCTCTCTATAGACAACAACCGTGTCAATTACCGCGGTCCTAACCCATCTTACAGCCGGAGGGTTTGGGTCATACTGTGGGTGGAATTCCATGCTAAAGTGCCTATGGTACGGCGTGCTGATCGCCACGTGGCCGCTGTACTTGGAGCAGCAATTCAATGGCTTCGAAATGGTGAGGGAGCTGGGATTGAACGTTGACATAAGGCTGTATTGAGAGATGTGAGGGGTGAAGAGTGAATCAATGGTTTGTGCAAACGAGATAGAGAGAGGGTTGAAGAGTTTGATGGAAAGCGGCAGTGAGGAAGAAGGTTAATGAGATGAAGGCAAAATGTAGGATGGCGGCCATGGAAGGTGGGTCTTCATACTCTTCCTCGGGTCAGCTCATTAGTGAGATTTTGGACAACATACGATGAAGTGGACAAAGGACAACTGCAACTACCAAATCAACAGTGAAGAAAGAAAAACCTGCTGTATATCAAGTTACTTCTCCCTTGTGTCTATCGAACAGGATCAGTCAGTAGAAGATATCCGACATTTATTCCACGAGAATCGTCATCTCCTTTGAGCTCAAACATCATGAAATGGTCGAACAATCATATATGCTTATTGACTAATGCCTAGGACTAAAGAAAAAGCTAAAGCTCTTCAAGTAACTAAAATAAAAAATTGTACGTTAGATCTCTTTTTTCCATTTATCTTTCTCTTTGCTTCCTATGTTTCAAGCCCACTTGGCCAGGAGAGACATGCAACCAGCACCGATAAGAAGAGCTATGTTGGTCCCAAACAGGAGCCTCCCATTGCTCTGCAACTTAGGGCTCATGAAATCAGCAGCAAGAAGATCGACCAGGGCCATGTAAATCAATATCCCTGAAGATGCAGCATTGAAGATGCCCTCCACAATGAGTGCGGTTGGGCTGTTCTCTTCATACACACTGGTGATTCCCAATCCTATACCAATGCCAACTGGGGTTGTGAGGGAGAAGAACAGTGCCATGATTACGATTGCCCGAGTCTTAAACTTGGCCTACAAAAGCAAAAGAGAGAAAACAGAGATTATCTTTAACATGACCGAGTTTAGATTCAATTCGAATTTCTTTTAGGTCACGCCCCCTATAAGAAGACAACTAGTATCTTGCCAAAAGTTTATTCCAAGATGATAGAGATTGTTTTCAAATTCAAATATCAAAAACCTGTTCAACAGTTTCAGTGGTTAAACGGCTTAACGTGTAGATAGACCTTATCATCTTTGGAAGCATTCAGAAAATTAATGCTACCCCAATTGACCAATAACCAAAATAGTGGTTGCTTTACAAGCCCCCCTCTTTCCTGGAAAATACATCGACTTTACATGGCTCAAATCAGAAAATAAACTTCAAAGTGCATGAAAAGTACTTTCTTATTGAATTCAAAAGCAGATTTTGAGGATTAAAGAGCAAAAGTACCTGAGTGATGCATCCACCGAGGCCCATGCCTTCAAAGAATTGGTGAAAGGTCAAGGCAGCAACAAGAGGCTTAATTGTACTTGGACTCTCTGAAGCTCCCAACGAGGTCCCTATGATCACTGAGTGCACCACAATCCCCAACTCTAGCACCTAACGATATCATAACCCCAAATCTATAATGATGTTTCACCATATTAAGTAAAAAATATGCACGACTAATGTGCGGAAATTGGGAATAAAGAAATTTACCTGAGATATCACTCTATGCCGCAGAAGATCCGAGTCTGTCGATATGGCACCATGAGAGTGGCCATGAGTTGCATGCACATGAACATCAACTTCGTTTTCTCTGGCCTTCTCTTCATCTCCGACGGTCTTGTCCGATCCGGCCTTGTCGGCATGCAACTTCCTATAGTAAGAAGTGGCGATGGTGTCCACCATCAACGTCCCAAGGGCGGCGAGCATCGCCACGAACCCCGCGAACGGGAACGCCCCCCACGGGGTATCGCTCAGGCACGGCGAGGTCAAGTTATCGAAGGCGTCCGGGAGGACGTGTATGAACCCGGTGGACAGTATCACCCCAGCCGCAAAGGCCTTGATGATGAAGAAGACGCTCCTATCCGGGTGCAGGGCCGGGATTGTCTTGCCGAGGATCGGGAGGCACACCCCGATCGTGCTGGCCACGAGGATGGACGCGAAGGCCGCGAGCTTGTACTTGAGGGCCTGGCTCTTGTTGCCGTGCTCGTGCTCACTGTCGCACGTGCAATCCGCCGCGACGAGTGGTATCAGCGCGAGCAGGCACAGCAAGAGCCGCATGGCTTCGAGATCGAACGAGCGAGCTTGTCCGCTCCCAATGTGGGGGTGGTGTGGCCAAGTTCGTCGTGTGCCTCCGGGGGTAAAAATTGCAGGGTGTCACCTGAGTCACTCGTTGTGATCCTCATATAGTTGTGGCGCCTGAGATTACTGGAGAAACAGTGGGGTCATTGTTGACCATTTAATAGGAAGGTGTTTATGGGCGGCAACGTACGAAAAGGATATTGACTAACAAACAGTTCGATCACGTTGAGGTGATCGGCGAGGGAGTGTGTCGATTCTATGTCGACATGATTTTGGATTTTGAACAAACCTTAAACAACGCGTCGGATACGGGCGAATAACCACCAAAGGGGCCAGCCTTATCGGGGCCAAATACAGTATCTTGTTATTAATATCTCACCCTGTTTTTGTTCGGATTACGTTTCGGAGAATCGAGTTTTTTTTTTAATTTTATAAATTTCGAATTCGGTGTTGAATTCCTAATTCGAGAAGTGATTTGATTCGAGAGAAATAAAAGATAAGGCAAGTATTTTGCAAAGTTAAGAGATAGCGTTGGGAGAGTGGAAATACAACGTATAGACTTGCTTCTTTCTTTAAATATTAAATGGATAAATGCATTAGGAATCCTAAAATTCATGGCGAGAGCACAATCGAATCTTCAAACTTTAAAAAGTTGCGATCTAATCATAAAACTTGTCAAATTATTGTACTCAAATAACTTCGCTAACTTCACCCGATTTGGTTAACGGAAAAAGTGAACGTGGTTTGTTTTTAATTATTTTTCTAAAAAAGAAGCGCTCATGTGGTAGTCAATTTTCAAAATAAAATTACTAGAAATTAAGAAAAAAACTGAAAGAAATAAAAAGGAAAAGCCGGATGAAGATTTGAGGGAACTACTTTCCGAATTTTTTTTAGGGAAACAAGAATATTAAAAAAAAAAAAGGAAAATCAAACAAGAAAAAAAAAAAAAAAAAAAACATCGCCTGTAGCAATGGGCTAGCTGCAGCTGAGGCGGCAGCGGTGCCGCCACTGCCCACACACCGGCGAGGGGCATCAGGCAAAGCCGTACCTCCGGCCCCGGCAACGCCGCTGCCTCTGCAAAGGTCGTGGCCATCCCCACAGATCTTGGGAGGGCACATCTCGCTCAGTTCTACAGTCCTAGAACTCCCTGTGGTTATGTTTGGCCAATTCATGCGAAACTTCAGCTAGCTGTCGCGCTATAACATTCCTCCCTTTGGTTCCAGAGCTTGGCAATTGGCAAGGAAATTGCTGCGAGTCCGTCTTTAGATCATAGCCAAGTGCGTATAATGGGAACGAGTTCAGCCAGTGCACTGCTGGGAATAGCTATAGTCCTGATTAATTTGGTGCCGCGAGGAGCGAAATTCGGGCATCACTCTGCATTTGTAATCTATTGAAATTCTTTGACAAGCAGGGTTCGGATGGAGGAATCGTTGTTCCATGACGAGCGTGTGCGTTAACGCATCGTGTCGCGCCCTCGCCATGAGCGAGGTCTGCCCCCTCGCCACCATTTGTGAAGAGGACCGTGACCCTCGCCCCCGAAGTGGCGCTTGCGAGTGGCAAGATCGCAGCAAACCTCACTGGCGAGTGGGGATGCCGACGAGGGCCGCGGCCTCGCCTTGCTCACTTGCCATACGTACACACAGTCCTCTGTTCTCTTTCAGCAGCTGAGGTAGTGGCAGTGTCTAGGCCGGCTTCGCCCCAGCTGCAACTACCTTTTCTCTGCTACAGCTTCCCCATTGTTATTTTTCTTGTTCGATTTTTCCCTTTTTTCAGATTTTTGTTTTCCCAAAACTTTTAAAAAATAATTTCCCTCAAACCTTCAAGCCGCTTTTCCTTTTTTATATTCTTTCATTTTTCCCTTTAATATTTTTAAAATTTTGTACTAAAATAGCTGATGTGGCAACTACTTAACCAAATTAGATGGAGTTAACAAAGGAACTTGATTGCACTAATCTGACAAGTTTTAAGATTTAATTACACTTTTTAAAAGCTATAGAACTCGATTGTATTTTTACGATAAGTTTTAGGACTTCTGGTGAACTCATCTCTATATAAATGTGTAGGCTATCAATCCTTCTATTTTCGTTTTTCATTTAAAAAGTAGAAGGTTATTGTTCATCAACGCCAATCGATCAAAGTTTAACTATTTTATAGATAAGAGATTTCCCACAATACAATACTATATCGAGCTATTTTCGCTTTATGTACATGGCTAGTAGTTTCCTAATTTGAGTAGGATTTCTAATTTGGGTGGTTTGCTAGTTTAAATACGTTTCTCAAAAAGATTTCCTATTTTAGATCCAAAATTGTGTTTTACTCAGTTATTACACACTAGAGCAAACAGGAGAAGTATTGTGTTTCTCCATGAGTTTCCTTTGTAAGATAACGCTTGTGCGTTTTACTTTAGGTGCAATTTAGGATTGGGAAACAGTTAAGTGATTTTAAGCTATGTATTCTCTAATGAAAATTGACTCTCTTGGTAAAGTAGGTGTCATCACTTGAAGTACCTTGTTTATTTCTCTGATAATTTGTTATGTTAGATTTAAATTGCAAGATCCGTTCACCTTGGCAATTATTTTATGACAGTTGGTATAAGAGTTAGGGTAATGGTTTCTGGATTTGATTTGGGTTTTTTGCTTCTTCGAATACTGTCTAGAAATCTTGTTCTTGTAATTATGCCCGGAACGAAAATAGAAATTGAGAAATCTAACGGGAGGAAATACTTCGGATCGCAAAGTGTTAAAATACATGCGCTATTAACAATTAAAGGTTTCGCCAAGATATTAAATGGCGAGGATAAGTTGCCGAAAACGATAACGAGGCCTATAAGGATGAGTCAACGAATAGGGCAAATAATATAATCTTGTTGAAGGTGTTAATAGAAGTGGCCGAGGAGATTGATGCCCCAATGTTGTGGGCAAGTTTCTGGCCCTTATTTAACAAAAGGTTTCAATAATCGCTTACGCATGTTGAATAGGATGTTTCTATTTTGATTTGCTGAAGGTATTTGCATCAGAGCCGACTTAAATGAGTTTGTTTGATAGATTTGAAGGATGTCAATGAGGCACCAACTAATGAAAATCAAGGCATGATGTTGTTGGTGTCTACCAAAGTCATGGCAACACTTCACCGATTCGCTGTTACAGGAGCGTACTACAATTGCCTCGGAAGAGATCTGCCTTGCTTTCTAAAAAGTGGCATAGAAAGTTGCGTAGCGCGGGAACTAGTGGTTAGAGATAGAGATAAATATCGAGGGTCTAACAACATATGTAAAAGCAGATCGAATTAGTGCCCTAGAAAGTCTGAGGGTCGTGTGAAGTGCTTTAAGCGTTCAAAGTGGAGAGGCCAATGAGGAGAGACAGTCCCTATCAAGCATTCATTCGACAAGAATCTATCCAATTTCGAATCGTCCACCGTGGAAAAACTTGAGTGGTCAAGAGACAGGTCGAGGGACCTCGCCATCCCCATCATCCAGCCCCATTTTCCCCGTGCCTGCCTAGGTTCACTCGTGTGGAAGGAAGGAATCCGTGAGTTTACTTCGTGATGCTCAATGTAACCTTTCCCACGGCTACAAAAACCATCAAACAATGCAACCAGTGCACTTGTTATTTGTACACAATGGCTGACTTGGCCACCATTTTCTACCCCTTCACTTTTAACCAACCTCCAACTCCGTCCTCCGCGTGCAATAAGAAGAGGCATCAGCAATTGCATGTCCATTCCAACTTCCATGAGATCACAACTTCGAGTCATTGTCGTGAGCGAAGAATCTCTAATCAATCTCAGCTTTTTAGGCTCGTCAACCCTGGACCTCAGACTGCTTTCCACACTTGCATGTGTCTGAAAGGATTGTGGAAGTGAGCGATGGTATCCGCATGCTGTTTGGGTCATCATCAACGGTGACAGAGAGTGCCACTGTGCATTGACTAAAGAAGAATCCCAAGGTCGATGCTTGGTCTAGGGGATAAAACTTCCAGTGGGATTCGTCCGTCTCGCATGTATTTTGAGAGCGACATTATACTTAATTTTCTTTTTATGATGAGGAAGCACTTTATGTAGGTATATTCCCAGTTTATAAGATATGTATATAAGAAAGGAAATTTTACTCGGTTATTACGCACCAAAGCAAACGAGTGGAGTGTTCCAGTTTCTCCATAAGTTTCCTTTGTGAGATAATATTTGTGGATTTTGCTTTGGACGTAATCTAGGATAACACTTAGAAAGATTTTAAGCGATGTTTTCTCCATATGCATAATGGGTTTCTTGGTGATTAGCTCTCCTGGTGGAGTAGATATCGACACTCGGAATTCCTTGTTGATTTTTACGGTAATTTCTCCTTCTATGTTAGACTTAAATTGCAAGATCTATTCACAGTAACAATTATTTCTCAACAATTGGTATAAGAGTTAGGGCAAAGGTGTTCTTGATTTGATTTGGGTTTTTAGCTTGTTCGATTACTGTCTGGAAATTTTGTTGTTGCAATTATGTCCAGAGCGAAAGTGTAAATTGAAAAATTTAATTGGAGGAACAACTTTGGGTCATGGAGTGTTAAAATGCTTGCGCTATTAACAATCAAAGATTTGGCCAAGATATTGGATAGAAATAATAAGTTGCTGGAAAGGAGGACAGAGGCCGATAAGGATGAGTTAAAGAAGAGGGTATATAGTATAATCTTGTTGAAGGTGTTAAGAGAAGTAACCGAGGAGGAGGATGCCAAAGCGTTGTGAGCAAAGCTTCAAACCCTTTATATAACGAAGGGTTTCAATAATCGCTTATACTTGTTGAAGATGATGTTTCTATGTTGTTTTTATGAAGGTAATTTCACCAAAGCCCACTTAGATGAGTTTAACGAACTCATGATGGTTATAAAGAATGTCGATGAGTCTCTAACTAATGAAAAGTAGGGCATGATGTTGTTGGTGTCTCTAGCAAAGTCATGGCAGCATTTTATTGATTTTTATTATAGGAGCATATCATAATTACCTCGAAAGAGGTAAAATCCGTCTTGCTCTCTAAGAAGTGGCGAAGTACGTTGCGAGATAACAGTATAGTGCAAAATGTATTGCGAGTACCGGTGATTCGAGGTAGAGATAAATATCGGGGATCCAATAATAGAGGTAAAAGCATATTGAATTAGTGCCATAGAATGTCTAAAAGTCGGTTGAAGTGCTTTGAGCGTCATGAGTAGGGACGCGAAAACTACCAAAA